AGGAATGCTTTATAACAATGGAAAGCAGCATTGCTAATTTAATGCTACTTTTTCTGGAGAATATAAATTTAGCAGTATTTTAATGTGGCAATGTGCACTGCATCACTAGTACTAGTGAGCATTACATTGTTAAGGTGCAGTTCAATGTTTAAGTCTTATCCATAGGTTGTACTCCCTTCTAAAACTAAAAAGAGAGTAGAGTCCTGTTCATTTCGTCCTATGAGTTTATTTTTTTAAATGGCTTGTGTCCGTTCAAATGTTTCACATCAACTCTTTGACTTGGGCATAGGTGTCCCCTGGGTATTACTTTGACAGAATGAGGTTGGTTTAATGATCATACCACTAAAAACTACTCTGGAGAGAGACAGTGTGAGTACTGTATAAAACTAAGGAGGTGATGTAAAGTTTCTTAAAAAATAATTGAATCCCACATGAGTGAGCAGTTATTTAGGCCTCTTCCTTATTATGCTGTCAACAAACAGGTATGTACATCCCAAGAATACTTGGACTTTTTTAGTCACTCTAGGCCCATGTTGCATAAAGGTAATGCAAAACAAACCCCTGCTGAATTCACTGGTGCACTATCAGCCTCTAAAGAACAGGGTAACCCACCTCCAAGGAAGACATCTCCTATGATACTTAAAGTGGTGCTGTCCAGCCAGTTCTGTTCAACATGAAGGCTTTGTTAAAACAAGGGCCTGCCTGATTCTCCTTCAACCTACTGCTTATGTTTTTTTATGCCACTATGAATAGAAGGTAAAAAAATATCCTCTTTACAGAAATGGAAGATGCAGGGCAATAGAAAATGCATCCCAATGTTTCCACCTCCTCTTTCCCATCCTTGGTTCTATGGATGCTACAGGTCCTTGGCCACACTCACAGTTTCTCCCCATGTCTTTCTACAAAACACCTCATTTTCTCCATTGCTACCAATCCACATTAAGATCTTGCTCAATATTATCCCTCCATCTTTTTCTTGGTCAGTCACAAGTTTGGCCACCATAAGAATGACCTCCCAATGTTGCCTTAGTCATTCAAATCACATGCCTGCCCACTAAGTTTCTTAGGATTTCATATTTAGTGAAATATGTTAGTTAGCTTACTTCACAGACATCCTGCACACTTTAATTAGATCTTCTCACATTATTCTCATGCACTTATTCCACAGTTTATTTGAATGTTTTAATCTAAGAATTTAGCTGTCTTTCTGCTTTCTAAGTCAACGTCCCCATCTCCCTTTTATACAGAGCCAAAGAGCTTATAGTGGTTCTGTTAGACAACAAGTTGTACAAGAATGGGTGAATTTCCTTTGAACTTTGCATGGAAATCAGGCAGGCAGGTTAGTTCTCTGACGAACCCTGTGTGTAAATGGGACTCCTATTCAGTTCCTCAGCTTCTCTAAGTCAATTTATACAATAAAAAACATAAAATAATACATGCGTTATGATTTTAATAAAAGAGTTCAAATGACCAGACTGATACTGTACTGCAAACTGTAATATAACATAAAGCACCGGTTTGTTTAGTCTAGAGAAGAAAGAAAAAACTGAGCAGGAGCAGCAGTTTTCCAATATGTATAAGTAGGGATCTACTTAAAGCACACAGAGGGGAAGTAAAAATTGTGGACCACCCATGATGCCTGGCACTATTTTCATGGACTTTTCACAGCGACCCTCCCCCACTCTGCTGCTGACTGGCAGCACCGGCCCCACCCCTCACCGCTGATTGGCTGAGGGGGCTGCCTTTCATGGAGCCCCGCTCTTTGCCACTGATTGGCAGAGGGACAGGGCCACACAAAAGGCAGCCCTTTTGGCCAATGAGCAATGGAGGGAGGAGGGGGCAACTGCCATCTTGCCTGCTCTCCTTCATGTCAGCAGCATCCATCCCCACTGGCAGGCTGTGAGGCTGGGCTGCAGCATTTT